AGCTCATTTTTAACAGTTCTTTTGTCTTTGAGTCGTTATGTTTCTCACAGATTTCTGCTCGTTCTAAATCAGATACAGATAAAGTAGCACAGTAAAGATTACACTCATATGAATGCATTAGTGAGAGCGATTGCGTGTCTGAATGAATTCTGCCTAGCACCGTCTCTCTACTAGTAGTGAAGCTGTGGGATTTAGTTATTAAGCAATATATGCTTGAACTTTTCAGTATCAAAGCTATTTTATTGAGAAATCACAGAACAGTGTTGACAATACATTTCCGCACTGAATGATTGTTTTTCTCGCGATCTGCGCGTGATGTACGAGCTACTGTCTGTAATGTGTGTGCATTACAGTGCAGCAGCACATTAGATTAGAACAGCGATTAACTTACCTACCTGTACAATAAGCGGTTAAAAACTTCAATTCTCCCGTTCAATTTCGAGCATCCAGTAATATAATCTCACATGTCTTGTGGAGCGCTTTCAGAGTATGCATTTATTTGTCATTTTAACTGTTTGGAAATGGAGCATAAATGTGAAAGTCCTTCAAAGATTTCTTACCCTGTTGCGCCCTCTATAGGACCAGCGACTAGTCGATGTTAAGCTTAAAGCATCATGGCAGAGCACTGAAGTCGACTAGTTGGTGCAACCCCTAGTACAAGCCTGTTATCTTTACAGAAAACGCACTCGATTTAAAAGTCAGTCATCTGATTGTACTGTGCCACAAAAAAAAAAGACGGGAGCACAGGCGCAATTAAAAATAACTCATAGTGCCATACAAACTTTATAAGCCCCACTTGTGATTATGAGCTCGACTAATTCCAGCGGTCGACTTCACATTGCTTTTGTAGCGAATCAGCTCAAAGGGGAAATATGAATAATTAATCATAACTAGTTATAATTAATTATAAATATTTAGATCCGCTGTAAGTATTTACTTGACCTCTCAGGGTCAACTGTCTGTCAATTCTAAGAACGTTAATTTCCTGGTTAAGGGAAATAACTTTCTTACTGTACAATTCTATACAGAGCCTGTAGCATAAATCTGCATGATTAAGGGACTCCAGTTACACCTCGTCTTCAGCGGCTCAGATTTCGAGAGTAAGGAGAGAGCTATGTGGATTCATACATCCAGCTACAGAACATCTGAAACGCTTGGGAGACATTCTTCTCAGTGCAGCAGTGGCGGACTGTGTACAACTCGCTGTGAACTCGCTCAGGGAGGTTCTATGTTAAAACGGCAGTGTCTGTCAACATTCGTGGGCGGAGCCTGTGGCTAATGTGACGTCACATTAGCACCAAGTCGGAAAACAGGTAGTTGGGAGACACTGCTTATGATTTATGGGGATTAAAAAAAAAAGGAGTGGGTGGATTTTTATCATTATAGGGTGGTTGTGTACACACACTGCCAATACACATTTATGTCCAAACACAATGCAAAAGTGAATTTTGCATAATAGGTCCCCTTTAATGTGCAATTTACGTTCATATTCTGGGCTATTCTGATTGTCTGCAAATAGTAGGCCATGCTTTATTAATAAGGTGTACTGAATTTGGTCTTCCAATGTCACTGTTTTAGTACATTTAGCAACATTAAGCGTTTTAAAATGTCCCAGAACCGTGCTTTGAACTGTTGTGAACGTACGGAGCTGTATGAACCACTGCAAGCTGTAAAGTAAACAGGAAGTGTTTGTCCGAACTCTGGTTTTTCGAGAGAACGAAACCACCACCATGTCCCTTTAGGGGCTCCGTACTATTGAACTTTTGTTTTTAAAACATCTAAACATTACTTATGCATTTTAAATATTATTACTTATGCAGGTTAAATGCATTCATGTCCTGCATTAAACAGTCTCTATTAATGCATCTAAATGCCACTTCAGATGCAGATTCTGTGCCACCTCTGCATTGCAAACACAGATTTTGTTGATACTGGTTTCATTTGATTGGTAGCCCTATAGTGTCTTACTATTTGAATTTATTGATTAAATTTAGGTATTTGACACAAAAGATGATGCATACATTTAATTAGGTTAGAAAAATGGCCTTATAAAGGTAAAAATGCCCATAAAAGGTAAAAATCAATTTAAACTTATGCCCATAAAAGGTCAAAATCAATTTAAACTTATTGGAAAAGTTCATTTCTGTTACTCCTGCAAACTAACCACCGCTCAGCTTTGGGAGTCAGCTGTCCACAGCAGTCCTAAACCTGTCAAAGCACCAGCACAAGTACACGCTCCGCAAAATATCGTCTAGTTATCATTATCGACAAAATTCCATAAAATATTGAGATATCATTTGTTGTCATTATCACACACCCTTAACAGCAACTGACATACAGCTACTCTGCAAGTAACGTGTAGTTTTATTTTCAACCACAGATGGCAATAGAGAGGCCAAAGTCCTGCAGGGCAGCTTCAGTTTAAACTTATAATTTGTGTTTTTTCAGATTGGCTCATGTACCGCTGCTCCTCCTCCTCCCAACACAGGGGTAAAAATCCCCACCTGCAAGTTCTCAATAAAAGACACCTTCCTCACCTCACCAGAAGACCTTTACAGGGTCTTTCTCAATCAGGAGGTGAGTCTTCTGCCGCCACCACAGCTGACAGCCCATTAGCTATTAACTATAGTGAGACTCCCTGGGCTCTTATTATTTAATGAGCAGATCATTTCTCATTAGTGATTACATCTGTTTGACAGGGATGACAAATTGTGTGTTACAGATGGTGCAGGCTTTTACACGCAGCAGTGCTGTGGTTGAGGCTGAAAAGGGTGGAAAGTTTCGCCTGTTGGACGGAAACGTGAACGGAGAGTTCCAGGAGCTGGTGAGATTTCGGTTTCAAATCACGTAAAGCATGATGACAGGAGAAACTGTCCTTTAAATAAACCGCTCAGCTAAAAATACATTCATTGATGATTGAATTCTGATTTGATTTCTGAAACCGTGTGGGTTTGACAGGTTCCTGAGCAGAAGATAGTCATGAAATGGAGGTTCAACTCATGGCCTTGTGGTAAGAGAAAACTGGAAGTTTTGCAAGAATGTCACATACACTACCATTTAAAAATTTATACACGAGTTTCACAATTTGAGTTGAATTACTGAAATAAATGAACTTTTCCATGACATTCTAATTTATTGAGATGCACCTGTATACATTTTTATTTAGCAAGGATGCATTAAATTGTCAGTTAAGACATTAATAATGCTATAAAATTTGCCTTTCAAATAATTGCTGTTCTTTTGACCTTTCTATTCATCAAGAATCCTTAATGCATGCCCCATTATAAATATTAGATTTACCAGCTCTCTTTTACTGTGTGACAGCTGACTTTGAGAAACATCTAGCCGATTGTCTCTGTGCATTGTTTACCGTCACTGTCTGTCCTTCCTTTTTATTTCAGAGCACTATGCGACGGTGACATTGACTTTCACAGACAAGGGTAATGAGACCGATTTGAAGATTGAGTGTCGGGCAGTTCCTGAGAATGAAGAGGAACGAACACGAGATGGCTGGCAGAGGTACTACTGCCACGCCATTAAACAGACATTTGGCTACGGCGCACGACTCTGCTGAGCCCAGGATGTAGCTGCCTCCGTTTTTGGCTCTCTTGTTTTATTGGTTTTATTTTTGTTCATTTCGCTCCACCTATAAAAGAGGGGATCTGAATGTGACTCTACTGAACAGCTGGCATCCCATTGCTCCATTGTCACGTTCCGTTATTTGGATGATTTTGATGTTTACAGTAAATTAAAAAGATTGAAAAATCAGAAATGTAAGATGAAAAGATGAGTGCTAAAGAGGACACTTGGGTCATATGAAATATCTGTTTATGTATGTAATATAGTGTACTTATTTCAACATGGTAACTCTCTGACTGCACTCCTGTCCTGTTCTGTGAAAGGGTCACAGGGTTGAACAGTGACTTTTATGCACTGGCTGGTTTTTGATAAGTTAGGAGGCTTTATGAAACATTGGATCTTCTTGAAAATGGTTTGGAGAAAGAACAATAAAGAGATATTTCGGACCACTTAATGTTTCTTTCTGATGGAAATAGTCATTCATGTACATTTTTGTCATCACATCTAATAGTATTATGGACATACGAGATTTTTACTCATAGCCATTTACATTCACCAAAACAAATACAAGCTGCAGAAAGCCTGTTTCTTTTGTCTCAAACAGACTATTAAAAAGAAAATCATGTGGAATGCACAACTGGTCATTTTTAGATCACTGCTTTGTATTACTGCAAGTACTGTATTTCAGCCTTTATAGGGTTTGCCTGGGTTTAGCTGCTATGCTTGTAATGCTTGAAAAGGGAACCTCAGACCAATTTCAAGTCACTCAGTTTTGTTTGTATTGTCCCAAATTACAATCCCGAAAAAGGTTTGAGTTTTATTTATTTTCTTGTATAATTTCTGCATCACACTTTGTCACCAGACAAAGAGCATCAATTACTTAAAATAAAAATACCTTTGAAACATCATCCTCAGATATTTTATTCAGCCATTATTTTGCATTACCCTATAATAGATGCTTGGTTATTTTAAACATTTTTACTACATCTTGTCATATCACAGTAGTTAGGTTAGGAGTAGAAAATGCATATTTATACAATATTGTGTAATACTGACATCTTAAAATATACCTTATAGAACATTTACTATAAAATACAATTGACCTTGTCATACAATATGCCGCTTAAAGAACCCTGTAACCTACTGTGGATAATAGTAACAAAACTAGTGACCTGCATTTAAAGATGAAAGAAAATAAAAAATATAACTATTTACATTTAACTATAAATATATAATCGCATAAGTCACAGCTTAGAAAATCATGTTAGATTATAAACATTACACCGTTCAAACTACAGTTTTAATTATGCATCCAACTGAAAGAAAATTAGTGGAGCTGCTCAAAATCACAAAATCTCTATTATATAATAAACAAATTATTTTCTTCCTTATCGGAATTTAAAACTCCCTGGAAAACTTGAAAACAAAAATTTTATCATTAATTTCATGGTCAATATAATACCACAACAGCAATTTCACAAATTAAAAATGAAATATTTATATCAGATGCTAAGAATAACAATAACCCTCCCGAAAGATGTTGGGTCTTCATAAATAATACTGCAGTTTTCAGCAAGAGATTGTTCGATCTTGTCAAACTTAAGAATAAAAGAAAACAATTTAAATTCAAAGAATACTGGATTAATGTAGTTGATACATTAATGTCAAGCACAGCTCTCACCTTTTCAAATGCCCGGTCAAGGTGAACGAGTTTCCAAGCAGATGAACAGCTCAGACTCCTGAAGAAGAAACATCAAGAACATTGTCAAGGTTAAAACTACAACTAACTCCATGTCAGTAAAATCTTCAATAACTTACACTGGATGACTCGCTGTTGATGACCAGATCATTGGTGGCTTTCTGAGGCGGCTCCTCCCTCTCCGGTGACCTGGCTTTGATAGACACACTTTGCCACCGTTTCCTAAAGGACGATCATTTCATTAAAATCGTTCCTTGTATGGAAAAACAATAAAACACTATTTGCCGGGCACCTGTGCTTTTTGATCAATTATATTGTACCTGTGTGACTGCCATTTGCCCTTAGTTTTGCACTCTGATGTTGATGCAGTGGAGGCCTGATCTGCCAAATCATTCAGGAAGTCAAACAACTTCTCTGAATGAATGCACTGTTTCCTACAAAGATCATAAAAAGAACACAGAAACAGATGGACATGACACAAACTCACAAAACGGTGGACAATGCATAGGAATAATTATTTAAGACAAGAGGATGCCTGTTTTGAAGCTCACATGTGATTGATGGACATCACTCTGCTGTTCCTGGATTGGGTTATTTTACAGGTCATGGTGAGAAGGGATCTGAGGAACATTTCTAAAGCTTTAGCTAAATCTGCAGTTAAGGAACATAACAGCAGTATGAAGGACTAGATAATGAATAATGACCAATAAGATAGATAGATAGATGATAGATAGGACTGAAAAGGTTGAACTAAGCAATGTGATTGGTTCTTAGAATGCTATTTCACTGATTTGAGCCAATCACAACGCTCTATAGATATGAACTAAGGAGTCGTTAGAACAAAAGAATCGAAGAGTCAGAATCGAGGAAACGACTCTTTTGGAATCGACTTCTCTCTCCTATTTAAGTATGATAAATATAATGTTATAATGCTAAAATATATATATATCTTGATGATCTTGGTGGTGTTAAAACAGGCTAAACGTTTTTAATGAAACCCTGAGAGACTTGTTTTCACGCTTCATAAGAATCAACTCGTAAATGACTCTTGACTACATATGACTCTCCACCAGCATTCAACACAGAGTTTTGAAAGGATACATATGATGACTGGTACAGCTGTAGCGATTCGTCCAACCTCTGTATCCTTCTGCATTATTTTCTTGATGCGTCCCTGGCCATGAGGCGAACAGGAGGATGAGTTGAGAGGTTCAGTGTCGCTCATTTGAGCAGCAGAGTCGGATGCTTCACACAATACTCATATAACTACGAAAATTAAGAAATACTCACGGGTGGAAAGCGAACATTATATTTTCTCTTCTGTCCGGGCATTTTGAACTCTTAAATAAGCGTATTCGGCTTACATTTTGAATAATTTTACAGTTTAGAGTGCGGAGCGCCATTTGTTTACTTTTCACAGGAAGTATTGAATGAGAAATGAATGGGGAAGGAA